ATAATAATAATTTTTATATCACACTTGTGTCTGTCCGTCTGACTGCCTGACGTTCACAGCCTATAAATATACATGAATACTTGGTTGGTCTAGCGGATAGTATATGTACGGCTGCAGATTTGGAGGTCCTAGGTTCGAGTCCCAGAGGGGATTAAATTAGTTATTAGATTTTTTGTTTAGAAATCTTTGTCAATATAACAGTCCGAAGTTGGAAAGTTGGCAATGTTACATACCTATGCCATGGAGAGTACGTAAAGATATTGATCGAGCACCTGATATCTCACACGTCGACTTGTCGTCTGATCAGACTTTAAGAGTACTTACAAAATCTATATCTATACATATAATAAAATTGTAACTAAGCCGAATCTGTATATTAAATATTTTTTGGAAAATCTTATTTAAATAAACATTATTATCGATACAGAGGCTGAATCTATAGTTTTTAGAATTTTTGTCTGTCTGTCTATCTGTGACCCCATCACGCAAAAACCACTGGAGGGATTTTGATGAAATTTGGTATGATGATAGCTGGTTATCCCAGTTAACACAAAGGATTATTTTTACTGCGGAAAAATATCTTATCTCTGAGAAATCTATACTAAAGTTTAAAACGTAAGTAGGGAGCGAGGGTGAGTCGCTAGTACATAATAAATAACAGAAGACAGTAACTTATAGTACCCAAATGTCATATCTGTTTAAAATAAGTAGTATTTCTATAAACTAAATATATTAAATAGTCAAATATGAAACAAATATATTAGTTTTATTTAAGTAACAATTTTACATAGAGACAAATGAGACAGTTCTAAGCTAATATGAATAACCGCGAGATGAAGATGTGAGCTACATAATCCTCAACTTAGTTCGAGAGTTATATTACACTCGATAGATTAGTTCTCTTGACGGTTTTGACTAAACCGCACTATCCACTACTGTCTGTATAGTGTATACTATGCTGTAATGCTCTGTAATGAAATATCCACATATAATAAAATTGTAACTAAGCCGAACCTGTACATTAAATATTTTTTGGAAAATCTTATTTAAATAAACATTATTATCGATACAGAGGCCGAATCTATAGTTTTTAGAATTTTTGTCTGTCTGTCTGTCTATGACCGCATTACTTAAAAACCCTGAAGAGATTTTGATGATATTTGGTATAATGATAGCTAGTTATCCGGGTCAACATATAGAATACTTTTTACTCTAAGAAATCTATACTAAACGTTAAAACATACCTAAGTAGGAACGACCCCAGCAGAGAGAGGTTGAGTCGCTAGTGTATTATAAAACAGTCATTAATTTATTATACTGGCCACAGTGACGATGTGAACGCATAAGTTATACCTTTATATATCAGGCAGTAAAAAATTACGAGAGTGGTTAGGCCGAAAAAAATAAATAAAAAATACATTTAAAAATAGAAAAGATTAAATAAACGAAAGATGTGATTGGTCGGCGGGGAGTTGACATGAGTGGATGCTATCTTTATATATGTAGCAATATACTCTATGATGCTATCCGTGATTTTTAACTGAAGCAAAGAAATAAACAAATTGTTGAGAATAACTGTTTCTTAATAAATTGTAACTAAATCTAATTAAAATTTGTAAGTTTTGAAACATGATGCTGGCTTTTCCTGAGATATTCTATAATATTATAGTAGATTCATAGTAAATTAGGATATTTTTTGACCAATATCAAAAACAGAGGTACTCAATTTGAGTATATGTTTTACGGGTGTACCTTAATGTAACTTTTTTATTTAATTCGTACCAATTCCTAACACTGTTTTGGTCCGAAAAGTAGCAGCGATTTAATTAAAGAAACTAAACTGCAAAATCAATCGCTGTGATAAAAGTTGAGTGCCCTTAGTCATTAGTGTCTAATGTCTAAAATCTAATAAGTAAATAGGTATGGACTTTACGTAATTATTGAATTTATTTAACACTAGCAGAGCCCGCGGCTTCGCTCGCGCTAAAACTATAAAATATCTCTAAAAAGGTAGTTTCACACAAACTTTCATTCCCTATTTTACCCTCTTACATGATGAATTTCGAAAAATGCTAAGACACGTATTTATTTAATTTTATTGAAAAGTATATTACTATATACCAAGTTTCAATACCAATTTTCAAATAATTCCGATCATAAATATTTTTTTCAGTTGTATTATAACTTATTTTCCCGTGGGAATAAGATAATCTCCCGCGGTAAAAAGTAGCCTATGTCACTTTCCAGCTGTCCAATTATCAACAAATATAAACAACAACAAAAACAATAATATCAACAACAATATACAACAAATCACGCCAATCCGTCACTCCGTTTTGACGTGAAAGAAGGACAAACAAACAAACAAACAAACAAACAAACAAACAAACAAACAAACAAACAAACAAACAAACAAACAAACAAACAAACAAACACACTTTCACATTTATAATATTAGTATGGATTTTACATTTTGTGATGTAGCTGGCACTGACTTCGAAAATATATATTTCAGAAAATATACTTAATATGTCAGTTTTCTCTTGTAACTTCATAATATTGAATTTTAACCATTGAAATTCCGTTCTATATATCTAGATATTAAATTATATTTACGAATTTACAGAATTTATTAATATAGTTAGAAGAATTTATTATAGAGTTACATATGAAAATAATTGTCAAAGAGAATATTTTTTACAAAATATTTCAATTTTACAACGCGTAAAATAAAACTGGCCTACCAGTTACTAACCGCGCTATCTGAATAAATTACTAAAACGAAATGATTTTATTGTAGGTATAGAGATACACATAACATGTGCGTTCATAAATAATTTAACATAAAATATAATTGACTGGTTACATAATACGTATATAAGTTTAAACTATTTCTTAGTTTAGTGTTGTTAGTTTGTTTGTTCATATTAAATTACATGATTACATATATGTAATTTATTCAAAAAGTAAGTTTGTGTTGGTTCATAGGTACGGTCGAGGTACCCCCAAACTTGGTTGGTCCCTAACTAATAATACCTACAAGTATATATTAAATAACAAACCTTAATATATTTTGTCTTTTTGTAACTGAAAAGAAAAATTATACCGATTCTAAAATGACATTTTGTTATGGGATTATATATGTGGTGCAAAATGAATTACCTCTTGAGATTTAATTAAGTATTAAAAAATATATATGATAATGGATTCAAAATTGGCCAGCATAATACATAACACACACATAAACAGACACAGACAGACAAAAATATATATTGGAATGTAATATCTTTATTTTTTAATTGGTCAAAAACAACAACTAATACTTATTAGTCCAGTCACATTAGAGGTTTCACCTCAGAATGAGAGATAAGTATACAAGCTGTAAACAAAAATAAATAAAGAACAGTAAAAATTCGAAAAAATATTTTTTATTTAAAAAGAAGAAGAAAATTAATACTTACTACTGTTCTTTAAATAATTAAATATATTTTCACTTCATTTTAATTAAAATATTAAGAAATATAGTTACTGAATAAAGATAAAATTACAATATATTTACACGTTTTATTTCTACTTAAAATCTACTTTTAATATCTATACTATAATAAAACTGTAGAGGTCGAATGTCTGTACATAGAACAAAAATCCTAAAAACCGAGTCAGGGGGATGTAAGAAGACAAATAGAACAAATCCAGATTTTTTTCAATATTTTTGTTTCACTGTCTGTCTGTTTGTACGGGCTAATCTCCGAATCTATTGGACCGATTTAAATGAAATTTTGCATGTTGGTACCTTATATCCCCGGTCCACATCTAAAATACTTTTTATTCCGGAAAATTAAACAGTTCCCGTGGGTTAGTTAAAAACTATAGTAACGTATACAACTTAGTACACAACAACTTATGCACCTAATTTAGTAAAATTTGGCATCCTGATACCTTATATTGCCGGTCTAACACCAAGTTACTTTTCATCCCGGAAAAATGAACGGTTTCCGTGGGATATATCTGTTTGTGCTTTTCTAGAGGCGAACCCGAGCGAAGCGAGGGTGAGCCGCTAGTATTAATATAAAATTAGGTTAAACAATAAGTAATTCATGTAATGACTTTTTAATTACACAAAGTATATAAGTATTATTATTGAATGAATATATTAGATATATATAAAATATTATTAAATATAATGTATTAACTAATAAATAATACAAATTAGTTATTGCTAATGATATTTTAACGATTTAATAACTTTATAACGAGGTATTATTTACCGAGATTCACGGTTGACTTAGCATTACAGTGAGTGTGGTTGATGGTTCTCTGCCCTCTATCTCAGAAACGGTTGGGCGTATGAAATTTATTTTTAACAAAATTTGTCGCAAATTTTATGTTCTACAATTTTTATATTAAATGTTAATATTATTTGAGCTATGGGATACCGAGATAATCGCGAAAAACTGTTTTTTTTTACCTTTGACCTTGAATAAATTACGGCGCATACACGGGATTTTATGATAATTTTGAGACAACTGTTAGAACACCAAAATGAAGCTGTATACGAGTTTACAGCTTATTATCTCTCATTCCAAGGTTGACCCCTTATTTTTGCTTAAGTGACTGCACTATATATAGTACCGATAAAAACACCAATGACGTATGGATCTATGGTCGGAAATATATATTATGTGCATACATACATACAGCTCAAACACATAACCCTCTTTTAGGCTTCGCCTCAGTCGGGTAATAAATAATTAGTCAGATTTTATGTACACGGCGACGAGAGTGTGGTGTAATAAATAACATTTAATTAATTTCAAAAATCATTTAGTATAGAACAGAGTAGGTACATGAACATATCACATATATTTATTTTGTTTAAACAACTTCCTTTTCTTTATCTAACAATTTTGATTAGTGAGGTCGTCAGTTCATCTTAGTTGTTTACAAAAGCTGGTTACGGTTTGTAGTGCTAATATAAATATTTTGAAATTCTATGCAAAATGGACTCGGAAAGACAGTGTCTGCTTGCACCTACTGCTTCAGAGATCAGATATAACAGAACCAGGTAGTGATTTAGAATTTATTGTCAAAAATCCGAAATAGAAGTACCAACCGTATGTATATAGAGTTGGTAAATGTTGTTGGTACTCCTGTTTCGGATTTGCAATTTCCGGTCTTTATTTTAATTTTTTAATTTTCAACTATAAGATTCTCATTGATTCCGGAAATAAATTAAATATTTAACAACAAAGTAAAATATTTAATATAAATTAAATTTATTATTATAATATTATGTATATTAAAATGAATTTTATTTTAAATAATATTTATGCTATAAACTAGAATTAATGCAGTAATTTTCTAGAATTAAAAAATTAATATTTGTCTAAATCAGCTGTTGGCTATGATATTAATGTATGTTAAATAATATATTATCATGTAGTTTAAATGTTCGCATTATTTTTATTGTGAACATATTATTCGAAAAATATTTAATTTACAAATATTATTCGAGAAAGTTTCACGCTATTTGTCTTAATTGATATTAAAAAGCAAATTAGGAATTTGAAATAAAGAAAAAATATTTATTTACAAAACCCACAACCAATATTAAAATTAGACCTACTCTATTAGAGTTTCACAAAATAATAAGCTGACCGAGATAAAAAAACAATCGTCACAAATTTTCACTGAGAATCGAATTAGCAATATTCGGAATAACAGCCATGTCTGTTTTAAATAACTTATTAGTATCTGATTGTTACACTCATAAGTCAAAGTCTTCCCTTCATGATTGTATATAAACTAGCGACTCAGCATCGCTTCGCTCGGGTTCGTCCCTAGGTACGTTTTAACGGTTAGTATGGAATAGGTAGACTATATGATATGTAACCTATAAGCCTTCCTCAATAAACGGGCTATGTAATGCAAAAATAATTTTTCAAATCTTATTCGTAGCTCCTGAGATTAACGCATTCAAACAAACAAATAAATATGCCTCTTTATAATATTGGTATAGATTTTTTTTAATGAAAATCGATGTACAGTTGACGAAAATACTAACAAAAAATATAAACAAATTCGAAAATGAGTTATTCTCCTCCCTTGAAATCGCTCTTAGACGTTTAGAACTTAGGTAGGTATAACTTTTAATTCAATTATAACAGATTAATTTGATAGTAAATTCGTTAGGTATATAGATATGTTAATGCCGTGAAGGAAAACATCGTGAGGGGCCCTGCATGTTGAGAGAACCTAGCAAGTTTTCGAAAGACATGCGAAGTCCGCCAACCCGCACTTGGCCAGCGTGGTGGACTATGACCAGATCCTCGTAGCACGGGGCTCCATTCACCCCGTGCCCAGTGGGACGTTAAAAAGGGCTGAAAACTATTTAATAGTTATAAATATACGAAATAAGCAATCGTTATTTACTTCCTATTAACTATTTGTATGAAAAGACAGTATCGATGCAATACATCGTTGGTGTATGTATGTATAAAAATACCTATAAACCTTAAAAAAACATAACCTACAAACACACTTTTACTTTTATATAATCTATTAGTAGATAAAGTTTACCTTGAATTTTAATTTAATTATCAATAGCAGTCAGAATAATTATAAAGAAAGGCACAATTCAACATGTTATATGCCTACTTGCCTACTTACCTACTAGTTTAAAAACAAGTTGTTTGGTTCATTAGAATATTTTTAATCGTAGAATAGGTTTGGGGGAGGGGGGTGGGGGGGGGTGCGTGCTAACGATGTTATCTATTCATATAATAAAATTGTAACTAAGTCGAATCTGTACATAAATATTTTTTGGAAAATCTAATTGAAATAGACATTATTATCGATACAGAGTCCGAATCTATAGTTTTTAGAATTTTTTTCTGTCTGTCTGTCTGTCTGTCTGTTACCGCATCACGAGAAAACCACTGGACAGATTTTGATGAAATTTGGTATGATGGTAGCTGGTTATCCGGGTCAACATATGGGATACTTTTTACCGCATGAAAATATCTCATTTCTGAGAAAAAATACAAAAACTGCATTTTAAGAGTATACTAATATGTAAAACCTAAGAATTTGGTTTTTGGTCATCGGAACGTGGGCGGAGCCGCAGGCAATGCTAGTCATACATAATATGTTATTAAGTGATAAAGCGAAGCGAGTATAGGTCGTAATATTATTAAAGCAGAAGGCACCTAAGGGCGCATCCGAGCGAAGCGAGAATAAGGCCTGATATAGAACGCTGTTTCTAAATGGCATTGCGAAACCGTTAGAGCTTAAAAAAATCACTATAGGCTCATGTTTCTTCCGAATTGGTCTAAATAAAGCTCGATTTTGTTATTTTACTTTGAAATACTTCTTTCGGCTTTGTCAGAAAAAAATACGAAATCAATAGGTACATTAGATGGAATTTGTTAAAGCATTGGAAAATTTTAGAAATTAAAGCATTACTTTCTGATTAATTTGTTATTCATGATTGACATTAGAAAAATCTTAATTGTTAATATTTATGTTCCATTGAACTCTCCTAGAATTATTAACATTGTTAATAAAGTTATTAGTACAAGTGTGAACTAAAAATCAAATAAATAAAACAAAAAAAATGAATGAAACCAGATAAAATAATATAAATTATTTAAATATTTCAATTATAACTACTTCGGTGGTCTAATGGCTGGAATTACGGCTGCATATCCGGGGGTCCTGGGTTCGAGTCCCGGGTCGGGCCAAGTTTAATTACTAAGTTTTTCTGTAAGATACTCTGAGTAATAGCCTAGAGTTGGGAAGTTAGCAGTGTTGCACCCTCGTGCCTCGGAGAGCAAGTAAAGCCATCGGTCCGGTGCCTTAAGGACCGATCCACACTATAGTGCCAATCTCGGTACGATCTCGGTCTATTAAAGTATTTTTATACAAAAAACGTGCTGGAGTGTTACTGGACCGGAACTTTAAATTTACTGATAGTGTGAATGCACTCATTGTTTCCTGTATAATATACTTTACCAAACAGTTATCGGACCGAGAACGAATTGTAATCAGCACTATAGTGTGTATCGGGACTAACTCTCACCATTCATGTCGATGTATCGTCACATCGGACTTAGAGAGTAAAGGGAATAGGGAGTACACTTGTGACTGCGCGTACACTTGCGCACTCTAATATCTCCTGCGTATCTGGCTGGTCTCAGTGAGATTGACCGCCGTGACCGAAATTGGTCTGGAAGACGTTATTGTTATTATTTCATTATATCATTGACGACACGTTTGGCTCAGTTTGTAGTGACTCTACTTATTGTACCAGCGGTCGCGGGTTCGAGTCCCGCTGGGGTAATTCATTTGGGTGATGGAGCATGAATGTTTGTACTCCAGTCATGGGTGTTTATACTTATAATATGTATGTATTTAAAGTTATATATGTGTAGTGTATCAACTATCTGGTATCCATAACGCAAGCCTCGTATCTTACCATGGAACTAGATGGTGCTGTGTATGAATGTCCCAACATATTTATTTATTATTATTTATTTATTAATTTTGTTCCAGACCACTATCATATGAAGAAGTGTTGACATCTCGACGAGAGCTTCCCTGGAAGAGCGCTCGAATTTGCTTGATTCTCATATTTTGGGCAGTCATGGCCGCGTTTCTTTCTATCATCGCATCCATACTGTCGAATAACAACTGCTCTTTTCGAGAACTAGACTCAGTGCCATCAGTGCCACCCGTACATATGTCCTTTGGGCCTTTAGTGTCATAATATATTAAGTTAATTATTTAATTTATTGGAAAAATTTGAATGAAATTAGCCAGAAAGAACCATGTATTTTGTATAGATGTTTAATAATTAAGTAGTGAGTCATAATTTGTCGTTTAATTAAGCTTATTTATGCAAATGACCATTACTTGTACTTTACAATAGATTTTTTTCTTTATTTTAAAACAATGCTTTATTTCTAATATAAAGATACATATTTAGATAAAATATATCGGTTTTATTAAGGTAAAATGTGTATTTACCAATACAATTGACAGTAAAAGTTAATAACTCTGTAATAAGAATAAAATTTCTTTCGGTAAATTGGTCGTTTGGAAAAATAATCATTGAGACGACCATATTCTTTAATCTTATATTATACTATAATCTTTAAGCTTTCGTGGATATTAACAAAGTTTTTATGACAAACCAAGATATTTAGTATCGTACCCACTCATGGCGCTTCAACAGTGCCGGAATATCGGAAACTCATAAAAGTAAGTAAAAAACATGGGATATATCACATTTCATCATAAAAACAATGTAATACTTACTATCCTTTCAGGGTATAAAATATATATAAGCTTTTAAAGCCGCAATATAGTGTTAAGAAGGCAAAAATCTGCTGATCTCTGCGGTTCAAAATCATGGTACCCATTAGTCGTTATTTACTTTGTTTATATCGTAAATGTTACTTACCTATTAAAGCCTTAACTGTTTTAATGGGCAGAGATAGGATTTTTACCAGATACTATAATATTTATCTATTAAATAAATTTTAAATGAATATTTTATAATAGCGAGTAGCAAGAGACTTATGCCCGATTTCACCAACGTCACCTAAGTTTAAGGGATCCCCTAAGCATGGTTAGGGGGCTGTTAGGGGACAGTTTCTGTTTCACCGACAGTTAGGGGTCACCTAAATATTAAAAGGCCCCCTAAATTTAGGTGCTCGAAATATGGGCTTAAAGGCGATCGTAAAACGAAATTTAATTTAGGGGCTAGTTTAGGGGACTTTTAAGCTAGGGGTCCCATACGTAGGTAGTCGCTTATGCGTTGTTGGTGAAATCGGGCATTAAAGTCGCTTCGCTTAAGTGCGTGTCTAGGTGCTAAACAGTACGCGTGTTACCTACTTTAAGTCATACCAAGCTAATGAAATAAATAAAAAATAAATGTCCATATCATTTTAAATAAATGTCCATATCAATTGATTTGTTCCATGCACGACCCAATCTACAAGCTCCAGTTAAAAGACAAATTTATATATTGCAAGATAGTAAAGAATTTCAAAGTCTGTGTATAAAGTTTCATCCAAATCCGTCCAGCAATTCCAGCGTAACAAACAAACACACAAACAAACATTCGCATTTATATTAGTAGTTTTTGTATGTCGACAGTTATTTATAATTCGTAAACGTTCAAAAATATACATCGAGTAAATTAATATCTAAAACAGGTCACTTGTAAGTGTCATCCAATGATGTAATATATCTAAATTAGCTTTAATCACTAAATCACACTTAATTGGGGCAAGTTCTTGATCTTTGCGTTTTATATCACCAAATGGAATTATTTCTGAAATATCAATCCATTATAAATCACTTAATTTGCCGTTGGCGCCTACTTATAATTTAAAATTACTTAGAGAAGATTACAAGTCATTTTACAATTGTTGGAGAATAGAAATTTAAAATCTATTACCATTATAAAGACAAAAAGAATGTTTTTCTGTATGTTTGTTTGTAATGGATTAACTAAAAATTTGAACGGATTTATATTAAATTTAGTATGAAGATAATTTTAGACCCTGGGAAGGATAGTTTTTATCCTGGATATAGGATAGTTTTTATCCCGGAAATCATCCGAGGGGTATTGAAGGGAGGCCCGTGCCTAGCTGTGGAACGTTAAAAAGGGCTGAATACATGAAATCTCTATGTGATTTTTTAAGATAACTCTCGTGTTTATAAACTATGGGTTAAAAATAAAGCACATAATATTTTCAATTGTTTTATTTTATATAAATTGTGTATAATAAAGTATTTGTAACTTTAAAAAAATAATTTCCTACAGAACCGGAGGTTCTTTGACATATATTGTAATTAAAATTCTGATTTGAATACTCTTTTACCATCAATAAAAAAATACTAAATACACAATCCCATTCAAAAGTTCTCTCAAAACTGTCACCAATTGTGTTTAGCTAATTATCCTAGTTCAAATAAATATATAACAATGTTAATTGAACCTTAACTGCTAAAAGATATTTTCACAAAAAAAAATTAAAAGCGCGCTCAAATGTTCAAATGAGCGCTCATTCAGTATTTTTTTGTCGCTGTTTTTGTATCTAGTATTTTTTTAAATATGGCTTTTTCTTTTCAATAGTTACATATATAACATTTACAATGTGCATACATACATACATATAAAATTATGATAAAATTCTTAAAACTAAAGTTTTTAGACTATTTAAATAAATTGACTTTATATGGTTTTTGTTTTCATTAAAACAGAACTTCTAACACAAAATAACAAAGGAAAATTCGTAGGAACAAAACGGCCTTAGTATTTTCTTACATACAAGATAGATGGCGTTGATTCATAAACTATCGAAATGTTTTACTTTATAAATATGTAGGTACTAATATAATATATCAAATTCATTTTACATTTACTGAAATAAATCATTAAAATATTAACAACGCCATCTATGAATATGTAGTGCAAACTCATTGCTTATATTCATTTATCTTAGGAATATTTTTTTATTTAAAAACCAGGAAATAGCTCATTGAAATATATTTTTCTTTTGTTAATCTATATCTATACATGAAATAGTCATTATTATCGTTGCAGAGGCCAAATCTATAGTTTTTAGAATTTTTGTCTGTCTGTCTGTATGGGAACGCATCACGAGAAAACCACTGGACACATTTTGATGAAATTTGGTATGATGATAGCTGGTCATCCGGGTCATAATATAGGATACTTTTTACTGCAGGAAAATATCTCATCTTTGAGAAATCTATACTAAACGTTAACACGTAACTAATTTTACATAAGCATCAATTACAATTTTATACATGTAACGCCATCTGTTAACATTTACTACAACTAAGATTTCTTTGTTCCTAAGAAGACTTCATGAAAAAATAAACTATGGTTGCCAACTACAATTATGTCAACAACATGTAGGAACTATTGCTATGACCCTCTACAGTGAGGGGATTCGATTTTACAGATTAAAAAAAGAGAAACAATAATAATATGACATTTCACAATATTTATTATTATTATTTAATACAAATGATATACTTGTAGTCAGTAGTGTTGTCTATACTAATATTATAAAGAGGTAAACTTTGTGAGGTTGTAGGGGTTAACCACTAGGTCTACTGAACCGATTTACATGAATTTGGTAAGAAAATAGTTTGAGACCCTGGAAAGGACATAGGATACTTTTTATCCCGGAAATCATCCTATAAGAGAGTGAGAATGTTTATGAAAGTTTGAATGGGGAAGCAAGCTAGGGACGAACCCGAGCGAAGCCAGTGTAATAAATGCAATCTAAAAATATCGCAATTTTTATATGACGCGATTGCTTAAAAGCATCTTTGACATATTCTATTCCTAAGACATAGGTATATTTTTATTGTTCATTTTTATTAATGATATATTTACAGCGTAAATTAGTACTACAAGTTAATGTTTCTTAATGAAATGTACGTATAAAATTTTATAGGATAGCAGTACCTAGATGCTGCGGAGGTTTAGAATAACACAATTTTTCCCCCAGTTATTACCGAGTCTTATTCTCAATCGTACGATTGTTTTTCACCTTAAGTGGTAATCATGTTGGAAATGAATGTCTTACGGTGAAGGAAAACCTCATGACCAAAACTGCATGCCTGAGAGAACCTATCAAGTTTTCGAAAGACATGTGAAGTCCGCTACGCACTTGGCCAGCATGGTGGACTATGGCCTGATCCCCCTATATACAAAAAAATACTCATTTAATATTATAAGATGTAAGTCGATATTTAAAAGAGCAACTGTTGAGATTCCTGCTGGTTTTTTTAGCAGAACTGCTTTCTAAGCCTATTTTTGTTGCTGATTGTATATCTAATACTTTTTTGATCGATGAATAGAATTGACATTTATAAGTCAATATCCCTGTATAAAAAAACTCTTTCAGTAAATTGGTCGTTTCGATAAATAAGTATTGAGACGACGAAATATACACATATCAAGTGATAATCCTGCAAAGAGAATCCGGTATAGAATAGAGAGCGTATAAGTGAGTTTCTTCTGGAAATCGCCCTTGAGCACTTTGTTTAACAATATTTGTTAATTCTCTAAGCGTTTCGTTCAAAATATTGTGATATTTGCTGTATCTGTAACAAGAATGAGATAACATTGGATATTTATTTATTTATTTATTCTCACTCCACCACCATTGTACTCACTCAATCAATTCATTCATTCATTCATTTATTAAGGATCGTCAACAGAAAATACATTATTACATGACAATTTAAAATATGTTAATATTAGTACATTGATTAAATGCTTATCCACTTACAGAATCACAGCATGCACAATGGTAGGTAAAAGTTAAAAAAAAAGGTTTAGGTACTCATAAATTTATTACTACACAAAAACAAATATCACAAAACGAAAATAATTATAAATGTCATACAACAGGAACAAATTAAATATAACGTATATGTTACTTATATTTTCTCTATCTCGCTCGCACTTTACTTTTACATGTTACGAAAGAATTTTAAAAGAATATATTTGTCTCGCTCTAGCTCTTACAGTAAATTAGCATCGTATATATAGCAAGAAACGAATAAATATTGACGTGGGAGTTTAAAATCTACCATTTCTCAATACTCTTTAATAACATACGCAAAAGTATGAAATAGAGATTCCTAATGAAAAACACATCTCTTTCTCATAAAGTATTGATATCTATTTTCTTTAATTCACACATTAACCACCCATCGCCATCAAATATTCGCTGGTATAATTTCACTTTGATTCCACATATAAAACTCTATCTTGTTCGAAAAATAATTTCGCGTCCATCCATCTCGCTTACACATATCACTAGAAGTAATTCTATCTCGCACTCGTACAATACTCATGCATCAACGACCGGCATAAAGGAACACGCGACAAGCAAATATCCATCTCGCTTTCACACATCCCTAGCACAACTTTCATCTCGTTCGCACTATACTCACATTTCAATGACGTAAAACGCCACGGAACAAGTACGCCAGTGCAAGTACCTACAAGTTCAACATATATACATCTCGCTTTCACGCACTCTCAGCACTATCACAATACTCACGCGTCAACCACCGGCGTGAAGGAGCGTGCTAGAGCGTGTTGCTCCAGCGGTGCGACGAGATACGAAGCGAGCAAAGTGACACAGGGAGCGTCGCAGGCGAGCGCGAGTACACTCACTCGTATGCGGTTGGATAGTTGTTGGAGTCCTATCCTTTCCAGATTGGACGTTATTTTGCTGTTTATCTGTGGAAATTTCAAAAAATCATAAATAGTAGTTTAAGAAACATAATGAGCATAATATGAAATAATTTAAGGTATTGCTATATATATTTTTCCTTTTAAGATAGCAAATAACTTTAGTCTTCTTAAATCTTAACAACAATATCTTACTAATATTGTAAATGTGAATTTAGATGAATGTTTGGAAGTTAAAAAAAAAAACAAAAAATCATGAACAGTTTAAAAAAAAAACAAATAATAAACATAATATGAAAAATTTAAGCTATTGTTTTATTTTTGTGTTTTTTCTCTGTACGTTTACGGTTTAATGTTTTCTTTTTTAGTGCTACTGAATACTGCATACATTACCACTTCTCAAGTTAGACAGAGACAAAAAGAATGTGCGGCCAGAAGTCTTCTGTATTAATTGAAATACGATTAGTGAAGATAGATATTTATAAATGTGTTCCAGACCATTATAATATTATATTTTTTTATAAATTATAATATATGTATTTTTTACATTCCATTTATAAATTCATATTGGTATATTCAGTTTAATGAGAATATTGCTCAGTCCTTTCTCTACGTGTATGATTTATTGTTTCATATGACTACAGTGTTTACTAAACAAAAACAAATAACTAACCTGCATTTCGCACTGTCTCTTAGAATTCTTAGTCAATCTGTCACTATCCGTGATAAATGTTACAGATACAGTGGGCCCACTGGACTTTTCGCTTTCTGACCAACTTATCGTTCTATTACCTGCCGATTAAAATTAATATAAATGATAAATTCTTAGATTTACTCGAATATTTAAAATTTGACATTAAATAAATCTATCTTTTCGGAAGAGAAAGACTGGTTTCACGGACCCGTGGCCATGATTGCTGTAAAGGATTCGAAATGTCGGGAACGAAAAATCAAAATTAGTCCTCGAAAGAATCAGAAAAGATAGTTTTATTTAATATAAATGATTACTTTGTAACTAAAACGATACAAATACTTCAAAATTATTTCAATTATTATTCCAGCTTCAGTGGTAGAATTAAATATTTATAAAAAAAAAACTAACTTAAAATTAGTGAAAATGTAATGTAACCACACAAATAACACAAAAAAAACATATCCACCTTACTTTTTGAATTCGGTCAAAATATATCCTACAAATAAAAAAAACAGACCAGATAAAGATAGCTTTGTAAATTATATAAAATCTAGATCATATTACAATCATTTGTTATATTCGAGCTGATTTGACGAGGAAGAATTTGAAGTCAGAAGGTAGATAGTAGTGGGTTCATTTATTTCGTTTTGAATAGTTTCATACACTACAATTAGCCAAAAGAGTATATTAACCGATTTCCAAAAAGAAGGAGGTTTTATGTTTGTCTATTTGTTTTTTTCCTTTTTTCCATTTATCAGAGATGGCTTGATCGATTTTATTAGTTTAAATTGTATGATGTTAAGGTAAATCCCATGATGGTCCTATAAAATTTTCTTTGCCATAAAGTACGCCATTTTACAGGCATTAAAGCTATATATAATTATTATTATCTCAAACAGTCACTACGGCGTTGGCAATCCCAACTTTATTAATTTCACTTACTATATTCAGGAGTCCTCATTGTGGTATCCAGATTTAATTTCTGTTTTATAAAATCTATTAATTTCGACGACTGCACCTTTTGTTCTCGTAAGCTAAAAAATAATAAAAAAAAAACATTTTTTTTTATTAAAATTACCTGAACATAAAGCAATTCAAAGGGCGAGCTTACTTCGGATTTTATAATATAGAGAATTTAATGTCTAAAAAATAACTATTGTAGCCCAACTATGTCTTCGATCAACTGTACGAGTCATTTGCCCAACTATTAATAAAATGATAATATGAAGGAAGCTACATGTTCGGAATATTTTTTTGATTCTGAAATTGTACACGTACGAATCCATCTCAAATAAAATAGCTCAAAAAAATTAACAAAACAAAATAGCTCAAAAAAATGGGCAGAGACGTATAGACGTGGGTGTTAAACCTACTCAAAAAAACCTCTTTTCACATTACTCTTTAAGAACCGTGCTAATCATAAGGCCGTTGAAATTAAAACAATATTTAGTGACGTCACGCAACGAACTATCCAAACGATTAGATCTAATTAAAAGGAGAAAACCCATACTCATTGATTCCTTTCAATATATGACATAAACATGACATCTCACTCTCCCTCTCTCTTTCTCTCTCACTCTCTCTTTCACTCTTTCTCTTTCTTCATAATCCCAGAATGAACCATAGAATTGTTTATCCTAATCATGAATTTACAATGATATGAAAAGAGCCAATACTCTGATATTTTTACGTGTGAACCATTTCTAACATAATTACCATTTGTCTTACAGCGAAAAAAACATCTTGAGGAAACCTAGCAAGTTTAAGAAAGATATGTGCACTGTGCATTCCGCCCCGCACTTGGCCAGCGTGGTGGCAAGATCCCCTTCAAATTGAAGGGAGGTCCGTGCCCAGCAGTGGGACGTTAAAAACGGCTGAATACAATAGATTACTCACTGATTCCCTTCAACATACGAAACGGACATCACATCCCCTCTCTCTCCGCAATGGCGTACACCCACCACACCACCGCAATGGGCATCGCGGGCGTCCTCCACGGTACCTATCCAGAACACGGCGCGAACACCGCAAGCCCACAACTCCTGGGCGATCTTCATCTCTAAAGAGCTTTGGTTGTCTGTGCATATGCATATGCATACGGTTGTTTGCTGGAACATTTATAATTTGGTTGGTTTGAATTTGAATTTATTGACATATAAATATGTTGGGACATTAACACACAGGACCATCTAGTTCCATGGTAAGCTTAACATGGCTTGGGTTATGGATACCAGATAGTTAATACATTACACATATATAACTTTAAATACATACATATTATTACTATAAACACTTATGACTGGAGTACAAACAATATTCGTGCTCATCACACAAATGAATGCCCCCAGCGGGATTCGAACCCGCGACCGCTGGCACAGCAAGTAGTCGGTCTTTTTTGTTATTTTTATGTCTCATATCTCTAGTTAGTAGAAATAGTTTTATTTGTTCCCATATATAGCAGAAATAATATTTAAAGGCAGAGGAATAAACATACATAAATAGACATTAATACCTTCAAAGCCGTCGGCACACACTCGTATATCATCATAATTATTTTCTAACAAATAAAACACACTGAATTCAGAATCACTTAAAAAGTAATTATTTCGTACATATACAAACGTGGTTATTATTTCATTTCTATACGACTAACGATGTATAATAATCTAAGCACTAAAAAAACATTTATAAAAATCAATTCACAATTTACGAAGATCTCGCAAAACATAGAAACAAAAAAAAATACAGACAAATTATAAGTACCTCCTTCTCTTCTAATTCGGTTAAACCTAGCCAAATCTCACCTCAATATCTTTAATCACAGGCGATGAGTCTAATTCCACGCCCTTCAACAAAGTGGCCATTCTTTCTAACGACATTGAGAAACCAACAGACGTGCAGTTCAAACTTGTGTAATGTTCCTTCTCAGCTCGAGCTATACCCCAAAATTCTTTGACTAGATTATCATATCTTAAACGGAAATAATAATTATTATCAATATTATATAATAATAATTAAAGTACATAAATCAAAGATTTGGTATACGATAAATAATAAAACACGAAAAGTATACGTAATAAAAAATAAAAATATGTGGACACTATTTTCGAGACGAGTAGTTTATCTTTTCTTATTTACTAATAAAATTATAAATATTATAAGATTATTATTAGTTACTCCAGGTTAATTTGCTTCCTTTGTTCCACCTTACCCCCCCCCCCTCCCCCCACGTGCGTTCACCTTGTCGTGGTGGGGGGAGGGGGGCTCAGTAGTGCCCGGCAATACAGCCGGGCGCGAAACCAAGAAACGCACAGGGAGGTAGCCCGCTTCGGTGGGCGGCGGGAGGCGGCCCTCTTCGGAGGGCGGTGTACCATGTGGGTCGCTCCTGGTACTTCTCTGATAGCAGTGGACCTTGGAGCAACCCCGTGGTTGTTGTGGTTTGCTTCGGAAGACCTGCCGTCGGGGCGTCGTAGTTAAATGTGTAAGCTATCCTGCGACGCCCCATTAAGACGGGGGAAGGGTTTTGTTGGGTTTTTGTGGGTAGTACTGGCTTTGCCGGTGAGTCCCACACCTCGTGCGTAAATGCATTTCCCAACGATAAAAAAAAGGTTAATTTGATTTAAAAATAAAAAGTTTGTTTGGGTACTTTTAATTAAATTAATTGGTAATTTTATCCAAATCCTTCCAGTAGTTGTAGCGTGAAAGAGTAACAAACATACACATACAAATTATCGCATTTTTAGTAACAGTATCGTAGAAATATCCATAAAATTCCCAAGAATTGTGACTTACTTAAATAACATTAATAGTAGGAGCAAACACACTTGTAATGCCTGTGACTCGTTTACACAGAGTCAGTAATTCTTTTTATAGACAAGGTATACGTTTTTACAATAACATCCCAGAAAATGTTCAAAACTCTCCTATCGCTAAATTATAACAAAAATTAAAGAACGTTTGTATGCTAAAACATTCTAAGACTAGACGTCTTACGATCTTAGTCACTTCCACGACCATGATTGCTATAAAGCATTCGAAATGATAGTTTTATTTAAATTGTTATAAAATATTTTGAATATAAATTTCTAATAGGAGTACTAATCTATTTATTCTATCCTTACCTTCCACCAGCAGCTATGAGATTTCTCGAACGATTCTTAACAGTCCCCTGGTCATGTATGACGGACATTTGCCAGAATATTCCACTGTGTTGCATCGCATTGTACGCGAGGAATGGCGCCACTGTGATTGGTACCTAGAATATTCATTACACTCTCAGAATAAAGCAATATTATAAAATATATAGAATACAGTAATAAATGAAGAACAAAACTATTTGAAATAAAACTATCTTTTCGGGTTTTTTCGCGGTTTTATTTAGATTTTTGGTTACCGACGTTTCGAATGCTTTACAGTTTACAGCAATCATGGTCACGGGAGAGACTAGGGTTTAAGACGTCTCAAAGTTATTATAATAACCTATAGAAAAAATCCGAAAAGATAGTTTTATTTAAAATGTGAAATATTCGCGTAAATATAAGAAAGAATAGTTAATGAACAGTTCTATACGCTTTATTTATCGAATTCTTGATTGTCTCAGTGGTCTAGCGGCTAATAGGTATGCTCGCATATCATGAAGTACTAAGTTCAAGTCCCGGGTTGGTCCAAATTAGTGACAAGCGTTTTCTGCATACATTATGAAATCTCCTGCGTAGATGGCTAATTTCAGTGACTTTATAACGTGATGCTATATATCCTATCTCAATAAATCGAAAGAAAGAAGAGAAATTGCTAGGTTCTCTCAGACATGCAGATTTCCTCACCGTAAGACAAGTTGTAATCATGTTAGAAATGATTCGCACATGAATCATCAGCGAGACCCGGGATTTGAACCCGCTTCACTCGGTTTCTCAAGCGAGCACTTTACCACTGCGCTACCACTGCCTACCTTACCTTCTAAATTAATCGATTAAAAATTTCATACTTACATTACAACCAAAACCATCAGCCTGACTACAAACCACTTCCAACTGCTGTATGGAGCTTTCTACTTTATGACTCCATTTGTTCTTAGCAATCGAACCCACTAACTCCCTCAACTTATCCACAGTAACATTCGCGTCTATTAAACGTCTTATATTAGTTATATCGCGGTCGGTCACACAGAGTGTCGTTAGGTGGGTTTGTAGCTGCAGACGAGTTATACGACCTGTGGGAATTTAACTTGTTACTATTTAGAATAGAACAGAGTAGACCAGAAAAAAATTGAGTCTTCTCTAGTAGAATATACTTGTAGGTAGAGTGGAGTAGAACACAGGATCCACTTTGATCCTATAGTAAAAAGGGTAGAAAAAAAACGTAGTGTAGAAATTCTATGGTTTATTAAATAACTTAATTGTTAGTATGGAATTGATAGATTAGATATATGTACATATGTAGGTATAGAAAAGTAGGATATAATATATTTTTTGTCCCTTACTTGAGAAATGATTTGTTCATAATATAAACTATTAACTCCTATTTCACCCCTTTCAAGTTTCATTTATATTTCAAAAAATATCTTATGGCCTTCTCCAAGGCCCAATTCCTTTCTATACCAAACTTCTTAAAAATTGATTTAGCGGTTTAGGCGTCAAAACGTAACATACAAACAGTCAGACAGAGGTACTTTCGCATAATATTATAGTAAGGATATATCTATAGAATCGAATAGGATAAAGTAGAATAGGATAGAGTAAAATCGTTATTCTTCAACAATTGTAGGATGACATCTTTTATAAGGCCTAAGACCTAAATGGATTAAAGGACCGAAAAGTTCCAGTTCAAATTATTTCTCCCAACTCACCTAAAGTAACATCCACCAATACGGGATAGAGGCTGGGATGTTTATCCGAGGGCACACCACACGAGGATAGCAAAGCGGATAGCAGTTCAGTGTGATTCAATTGTATGAACACTTTGAGGGATATCTCTGACGCCGCACGAGTCGCCACTACGAGTAGTTCAGAGTCCGTCCACAGAGTATCTGCAATTTTAATTTTGGGGATACTTTTACAATATTTTTAACCGACATAAAAAAAAGGAGGTTATCAATTCGATTGGTATGTATGTAATATTATTGGAACTATAAAATATTCACATGTGATAATCTATTAGGGCTTCCAAGCAAATATACAAAATTTTATAGGTGTTTGTGTGTTTTTATATTAGGGTGGAGCAAAAAAAACAAACAAACAAACACACTTTCACATTTATAATATTATTATGGATATACATACACAAATGAAGTACCTAATATAATATAATGATATTTTTTTTATTATTGAAAAAAAGTACCTGTTTTTGGTGTAACTATATCAAAAGCGCATTCAATAATCTCACGTGGATGAAAACCTTTCACCGTCTTCTCAGTCTCTCTATACACGCGATCGACGACGTAACGGCGCATATATTTAGTACCAGAGTATGCCGTGTGCCTGGAATATAAAACATTTTTTTTATAATACTTTCTTAGATTTACGCGAATATATCTACCTATATAAGACATTTTAAGTAGAAATATTTTTCGAATTATTTCGCGGATTTATTTTGATTTTTGGTTCCCGACGTTTCGAATGCTTTACAGCAATCATGGTTACGGGATAGACAAAGGTTTTAGATGCCTCAAAGGCATTATACAGTTTACCAAATCACATTACCAAACATCAAAATAAATCCCCGAAAAAATCCGAAAAGATTCATCTTATTTTACCGACCAATCTCCTTCATATCTTCTTCATTCTTTCGTGGTATTGACGAAGCACTCTAGGTAATCTGTGCTTAACTGGCACGCTTTGACGACATTAACAAGAAAATTGACTTGAAAAAATGTTTAAGTTTCTATATTGAAAGTTAAAGGCGTCCATATTTTCATCACTTTCGCATTATTATAATAGTCGCCTAACTAATAATAAAAACAATCCGAAATTTATAACGGCGTCTATTCGTCCGACTATTGTTGGTATTTTATGTTTGTACGAGTATAAAAAACATTCGGATCTAAAACAATAAATTTTCAGCTCGGTAGGTTAAGGGTATTTTTTGCATATAGAAACGCCTGCACCTAAAAATCACTTATTTTAGATTACAAAACACAAAAATGGTAGATATTAATACAAACCGACAATTGTTTAACGAAAAAAATATATTTTATTCATGCGACAGCAATATAACAACAGCCATATAGCATAATAGCAACAGCCAATTTATATACCCACCTCGCAAACGGCAGTCTGAGGTCGTGTGGTAAATGACAGACAGTGCCCGATGACGTCATCACCCTCACCGCGTTCGGGTAGCGCGCCCACCGCTCCGCGAGCGGCAGGAGGAGTGGTGGGTAAAACTCTGTAGCGCCGTGCTCACGGAATACCTGATAATCGATTAAGTAAGAACTTGTAAGTGACTTTACAATTTAACTAGTGACACTCAGGCTTCGTCGGATTCGTAACTAGCTATTATAGGCAAATTTTTGATACCTTAGGTTACATTATTGTAATTTTCGTGTAGATATCAATTTTTTTTTTGAAAATAAAATTTAACCCAAGTTATTTGCTGATAATGTAGCTTTTGATAGATGAAAGAATTTTTAAAATTGGTCTAATAGTTTTTTAGTTTATTTATTACAAACAAAGATACAAAAAAAAAACATTTTTTTCTCTTTATAATATTATGTATAGATATTATAGAAGGTAACGACACATATTGGGAAATTTTATTACCAGCCTATGGCATGGCCCCAGCCCTTTCAGCGTCAAGATGTAATAGATATGTATACACATAAATAGAAACTGTCGCATTTTTATATTAATATTATTATTATATCCATTATCCACGTTTTGCGAATATAGACAAATTAATATTCAACAAAGGTAATAATAAAAAAAAACTATGTTTCTAGTAACAGACAAAAAACAACCATAAGCCGTACCTTTATAACCAAGTCCTTAATACTGGCAACCGCATCCATTGACTTCATCTTCATACCTCTATGGTACGTATATTCAACTGCTGGGGAAGGTTTTTGGTTTAGACACTCAGAAATCAGTCTCAGGTAGCCTCTGGAGCTTCTATCACTTAATGTGTGTGTTATTGCACCAGAAAGTTCTACTTCTGGAACCGCTCGAGGCACGTGTTCAGATGTAAGAAGCTCTTGACTGGTTGGTCGAGAACTTGCGTCGTGGTCGAGCAGCCATCTATGAAATATTATGGACGAATTAATTCCGATTATTTTAGTTCATCTGGATATATGGATTTAGACCCGAATCCAGGATTTTCATGTTTAAAGCCTTATACAGCCACTAGACTAAAGAGACGGTTAAAGCACAAAATACTTTCTATTAAGTAAGCAAATGCTTAAAGAATGACCTTATTACTGTACACCTTCGATATACCTACTCAGGCGAAAATTACTTTGTTGATCTTGAGGGAAATTGTCATATTATTAAATGATAATGAGATAGAAAAATGGCTGACAACATCAGAAAACCTTAAATTTTAGACATAGATGTTTCATTCCTTCATAGCTCAATATCTATTACACATACAAAAAAAGTATAGTTCTGAAATTCGTTCATATTGTACATTTGTTCGTTCGTTTCGTTCGTTCATTGGTACTTCTAAGTTCTAGAGGATATGAACATGTGCACATAATATATTTTTTTATTTGAGGTTTATTTGTCAAATTATGCGATACTAAAAGCCTCATTAACGAAGCCGCAGGTATTACTAGTTACCTTATAAAAACCTAATCTCATTTCTTAAAAGCAAAATATTTACCTTATAACATGAATTTGTTTAGGATTGTTCTCTTCGAATTCCTTCGGAATAATGATTTCTTTTTTCCTCAGATTCGTCACCACTCCATATCTCTCTGCGGTCGTCGTGAAAGGTGGATAGAACATCTCAAACAAAATGATTCCTAGCGAGTAAATATCCACTTTCTGGTTGTATATCACTTTACATGCAGACTGTTGGAGTTCTGGGGCTACGTACAGAGCTGTGCCCACCTGTGGGTGTTTCAATTAAACATATTGTTAAATACTTTCTTAGATTTACGCGAATATTTGACATTTTAAATAAAACTATTTTTTCGGTTTTTTTTGGCGGATTTCTTAGATTTTTTGAAATACAAAAACACAAATTTTCGTTTTCCTTTTTTTTAATTATTTAAAATTTTATGATTATAATATACGCTAACATGTTTAATAATAGCTAACGTATTCTATTATAATAAAAAAAAAAAGATTGAATAGTTAAGCTTAAAAAATACAATTGTAGTAATATTTTTACTATTCATATTTTATTTCCAAAAATTGTATAAACTAAACTAATAAATACATATATAAAAATCCCTTATTCTTCAAAAAAAGTATACAATCTGTATAGCAAAAACATCAAATAACACTACTATTTTTGACTTCGACATTTATTTTAGAGGACTCCGGACTATATAACTCTTTAGTCTGATATAAAAACTTACTTGGCTCGTAAGCAATTCATCTACGTCCTCAGCTGATGGATTATCTAAAATAAAACAAAAACAATATAAATATAATACCTTATTGCAAGTTGAGTTCTTAATGTTCTGTATTATCACAAATAAATAAATATGTTGGTACATTAACACACAGCACCATCTAGTTCCATGGTAAGCTACGAGGCTTGTGTTCTGGATACCCGATAGTTGATACACTACACATATATAATTTTAAATACATACATATTATGAATATAAATACCCATGACTGGAGTACAGACATTCGTGCTCATCACACAAATGAATGCCAGCGGGACTCGAACCCGCGACCGCTGGAACAGCAAGAAGAGTCACTACAAACTGAGCCAGACGTATCGTCAAAATAGATATTTGTGTCACTCAAGTTCTATCAGTATATTAAATTTCATAAAAATAAGTTCAACAATTTCATGTTGAAAGAAAAACAAACATACGCACATACATACAAACTTTCTCATTAATACAAAATTACTCCGATTATCATGTCTTTTAATATACATAATTATATAGGCAGTGGTAAAAGTTGTAACGCGCTCGCTTAGGAAACCGTGTGAAGCGGGTTCAAATCCCGGGTCTCGCACCTCTGATATTTCCATGTGCGAATCATTTCCAACAAGATTACCACTTATCTTACGGTGAAGGAAAACATCGTGATTAAAGCTGCACGTCTGAGAGAACTTAGCAAGTTTTCGAAAGACATGTGAAGTCCGCTACGCACTTGGCCAGCGTGGTGGATTATAACCTATTCCCTCTCGCATTCGGAATACTTGCCCATCAGTGGGATGTAAGAAAGGGCTGAATACACATACACAATATGTACGAATTAAGGTTTACATATATTATAGTGTATATGTATGTATGTCACTTTTGATCTTAGCAAATCCAGTGTCACTAAATTACTACTAAAAACTTACTTTCAACAATGGGCACTCCAGTAAAGACTTTGGTCGCTAAACCGAAGTCCCCAATCTTCACATGGTCGTTCGAATCCAAAAATATGTTCACCGGCTTTAAGTCTCTGTGAATCATACCTTTTTGGTGGACGTGAGCTAAACCTAAAAATTGTTTTAAATTAATAGATTTTAAATGTAACTTTTTTTCTTAAATTTATTTACATTTGACATTTTAAATGAAACTATTTTTCGGTTTTTTTCGCATTTTTTTTTCTTTTTTGATTGCCGACCTATCGAATGCATTACAATAAACATAATCGCGGGATTCTTCGATATTAATTATTAAATTTCTAATACCGCTTTTAAACACCTTTTTTTTTTAAATATACTTTTATTCCAGAATAATATATAATGACAGTAGATTCTCTAATCAAACTTAGGTTTTCTCCGTACTTTAGATTTTACCTACGAAAAAGAAATTATTTCTACAGGATAGGATACAGAAGTTGTGTACAATAGAGAATAGGCGTATGATTTAAATAAAGGTGAAATAATATTTTGTTTATAATCTTTATTGCTTTTGAATTAAGCCTATATCAATATTTTTTATGTAATTTCTTTTTGATTAAGGAAATCATTATTAAAAAGTGCAAATATAGGTGGGAAATTCAAAGTGATTGAAACAAACGCCATTGGTCAGACCGAAGATGACGTCAAAGTATTATCATAATAGAGCGATTAGCGATTTAATCGCTACAAACTAAAGTCGTAATTTTTCGATGTATGATACTTTGACGTCACGCCAACGGTCAAGCGCGCGAAATGGCGAGCGTTTAAAGTATCCGTATCGGTATGATTTAAAAAAAATATTAAACATAATTTTAGTTTTTTCGGAGCCGGATATTTTTTTTTACAATTATATAACGATGTTATCTATTGTATAAAAAATAACAAAAATCACGCATATTCCCTATTGGTTAGTTGACGCCATTAACCCATAATCCCAAGATATGACTTCTCTTTTTTAACAACTGAAAAACACTTTATTTATCCCTGATAACTCTATTCATTTTTAAGCTTTCAAAACAAATTATCGGTGGTGCCGAATGCCCATTTATAAAAACAAAATATTGGAAAAAAAAAGAAAATAACTATAGAATCATGGATCAAAAAAGTACTAGATACACAATCCGCGGCAAAAAATATCTTCACCGAATGAGCGTTCGTTTGAACATTTGAGCGCGCTTTTAATTTCTTTTTCTGTGAAAACAACTTTAAGCATTGCATTTATGGTTCATTTTACAATGTTGTATATTTATTTCAACTAGAATAATTACCTAAACAGAATTGGTGACAGTTTTAAGAGAACTTTTGCATGGCATTGTGTATCTGTGTGTACTGTTTTGATCGATGATTCAAATATTAAGTTACCGAAAAAAAAGTACAAACCTTCCAAAATCTCTCTAAAGAGCCTCCACGCCCTGATATGATCCTTATATAAACTATTATCTATGGCCTGCCTCAGTGTGTTCTTTTCACAAAACTCCATTTGTATAGACAATACCTTTTTATATATAGGTGTAAAAGGAATGTCTTCTGATGGCATTGTCAAACTTTGAATGGAATTCATTTCAAACTCTATGCTACTGCTTTTACCGCTAACTGGTCTATAAGAAAAATATACTAATATTATAAATGCGAAAGTAAATCTGTCTGTCTGTTATACCACAAGATCCATTATTAATATAACTGCTAACTAAAAGTATCTATTTGGATTTATTCGTGGATTTATTTTGATTTTTGGTTCCCGACGTTTCGAATGCTTTATCATTTTTATTATGCATAGCCACGGGAGAGTCTAAGGTTTTAGACGTTTGAAAATGTCACCAAAGTAGCTTATAATATTTGTTAACTTTAATTTTAAGATTTTTTTATCATTTTAATAAGTTTAATAGCGTAATATTAAATATGTATTATATATTATATTACACTTACGTCGCATTAAACCATGGCGGGTCATCAGAGTCGTCGGATTCGCCAGAATCATCTGAATCATCCTCGTTATCTGACAAATCATCTCTCACTTGGACCGGACCATCAGCTATTGACCAGTCTAACTGTAATTTGTCAAAATATAATATGGCAACTACTGTATAATATAGCAGTGGCAGCCCAGTGGTAACGCGCTCGTTTGGGAAACCGAGTGAAGCGAGTTCAAATCGGGTCTCGCACCTCTGATATTTTCAAGTGTAAATCATTTCTACTTGCCTTACGGTGAAGGAAAACATCGTGAGGAAACCTGTTTGTCTGAACTGAACCTAGCAAGTTTTCAAAAGAAATGTGAAGTCTACCAACCCGCTATTGGCCAGCGTGGTGGACTATAACCGAATCCCTCTCGTATTAAAGGGAGGCTCGTGCCCAGCAGTGGGACGTCAAAAAGGGCTGAATACATACATATAATTATAGCAACTACCTGCGTGTCAAACAGTAGCTTATATGTCACTCTAAGTCATAGTATATGTGTGGGCTTTTGGAGTCGATCGATCGAATCAAAACTTCAGCATCATAGGCCAAGTAGTTTCCGAGATCTCATGACTATTCAACTGCGCAGAAAATTATATTTTAGTTCAACGCGTGTATGTACAAGCATTCTCTAGTGCACTCTCTATTCTTTTCACTATTTCGATAGAAAAATAATGGGTCAGTGATCAAAGTAGCACGGGGATGAAACCTCACCAACTTCCCAATTCTGGAATGCTACTGAGAATACCTTAACAGAAAACCTTATAACTGGATTTGACATGACTCGGGTCTTGAACTCACTTTATATCTTCAGCCATCATATTAACAACTAGACCAACAAAACAACCAGCAGAGACATGGAAAACAACAAATAGACTACCAATATAGGCACCCAAAATAATCAAGAATTTCCTTAAAATTAAAATTGACGACACGTTTACCTCAGTTTGTAGTAACCTACTTGCTGTGCCAGCGGTCGCGAGTTCGAGTCCCGCTGGGGGCATTCATTTGTGTGATGAGCACGAACGTTTGTACTCTAGTCATGAGTGCTTATATTTATAATATGTAATTAAAATTATATATGTATGTATAGTGTAATAACTATCTGGTATCCATAACACAGGCCTCGTAACTTACCATGAAACTAGATGGTGTTGTGTGTTAATGTCCCAACATATTTATTATTATTTAAAAAAAACTCTTACCTGTATCTCTTGCTCCAACAGAGCATGAAGTTCTTCCACTCTACTCTCCTTTTTCTTAACAGGAGTATCATCTGCTTCGCTATCTTCGCTATTCTCGACGTCACTTTCTATAATAGTTTCGATCCATGCATTGTAATATCTCACTACGTTTTCGTGATTCAGACGAGATAGTAGTTTTACTTCGCGAGTTATTTTTTTATAAAGCTCAACGTTTTTAGGGTTCAGTTTGACGTGTTTTATCGCGTAAAAACCACCGTCGAGTTTGTTTCTCACCTGAAATGGTCTACGCGATAACTTTTGGAATATTAAGTTTTAATGCATAAGAAATACCTTTTATTTATTTTGGTGTATTGCACTTATTTCAAACACAGTAAGTGATTTTGTAAGAATTTTCCAATTTTTATATAGGTATTTGTGTAACCGGATTTTATTCACATTTTTATAGATATTTTTTTGAGCGAAACCCTATTTATTTTCTAAAATAGAAGTGGCCTAAGTCACTCCTTATAGCATCAGCTATCTTCTAGAGAAATGACCATCAAATTCGATCCAGCCGTTGCAGAAATTAGCCGAAATAAACAGTCAGACCAACAGATAGACAGACCAAAATTTAAAAATTGAGTTTTTATTATAAGTACCGTATCCAATTCCAAATACATTTAGTAAGAAGCTGTAAATACTCTTAACTAACCTTTAGAACATCCCCAAAAGCACCTTTACCCAACCAGTCCAAAACTTCAAACTCTTCATTTAAACGCGAATGGCCGTTCACTAACGTATTGATATCTTGAATTCTTTTCCTGCTATCCTCCTCCTGTATATGTAACAAGAAATACAATAAAATATAATTAAATTAAAAAAAAACAAATCATTCATTTTCAGTTGTCTATGAAAGTTAAAATAATATTTTTTTGACATTACGTAAATGTAAATCTACTTCAGTGAAAATAACATACAGAAATCGCGTAAAATATATATAATAACATTCATCAAAATCGCGTACTAATAATAAAAAAAATATCTAAATCATTCAAAAGTAATCATTCCTTTGGATATGGAGTATTTTTTTAATTAAAAAAATATTAATAAAAAATCGATTCAAAACTTAAAAGATAAAAAAAAATTCAAAACCACAAAAAAAACAAATAGCTACTACTGCTTCAAAATACCTTTACATTTTAAATAAAACTATCTTTTCGGATTTTTTCATTATTATTTTTATTCATTTAGAATTTTCGAAAATCCAAAAAGATAGGTTTTATTTCTAATATTAGCATTCTATATAAATTAATTCTAATATAAATGTCAAATATTCGCTTTAATCTAAGAAAAAAATACCTCTATTTCACTATCGGCGTTACTATGTCCATTCCCATTGGGCATAACGGCTGGAGTGTCGATGAGAAAGCCGTGATTTACCAGTTGTTCTGCTGACCACTGCACATTTTCGTCTTCAGTTAGACACCTTTAACATTTAAAATATTAAACAAATATTAAGTAACTTAAGGAAATATTGTCACGCCGCATTTGATCAGTGTGGTGGACTATGGCCTAATCCCCTTCATATTGAAGAGAGGCCCGTGCCCAGCAGTGGGATGTTAAAAAGAGCTAAATACATAAGAAAATACCACAAGGTTACGGGATGTTTTTCCCTTTTAATCATAGTTCATATCAATAAGCCAGGCCTTACACATATTAGTATATATCATTAAAACTATTAAACGGATTTTGATGAAATCTTTACTGTTCCCTAAGATGAAGTAAATGTAAGCAAATAAAAAAAGAATGGATCCAATCTGATGACTAGTTTTGGAGAAATGGTAATATTTATCAACATCCTAAATGTATCTAGTATTTGACTCTTTAACTCCATATAAACAAATGTTCTCAATTTTACTTACACATAGCAATAACAATATTTTAGTCTTATAAAACGCAAGAAAATTGCAAAAGTACCAATCATCCTAAGCATTTAAACTTAAAAAAAAAGTAAAAAAACTACTTAAACCTTTATTATCTGTACAGATTAATTATCTGTGCTGAAATATTTTATATATAATAAAATATTTAAAAAAATTGTATACCTAGAAAAGAAGTCTTTGGCAGAGCTGGGCAAGTCTGAAGGTATTTCTTGACAAGGGTCTTCTGTCACAATTGAAAGAAGTAACTGTGCCGCTGCATAAATATCTTGAGATTTTGTCTGTCTAGGTAAAAACAATATAGTTTAATACTAGCGACTCATCCTCGTTTCGTTCGAGTTCGTCCCTAGGTTGATTCCCCATACAAATTTTCTTACCAATTCAATTTCATTTAAATTGTTCCAGTAGTTTTTGAGTCTATACTTTATTCATTACAAATATAAACATACAAAAATACAAATCTTTCCTCTTTATGATAGTATACATATAGTGTAGATTATATTCTAGACTCGGTAGGTTTAGATCAGCGGTTTCCAAATTTTTTGGCCACGGATCCCTAATTGATAATATTTTTTTAATGCATCCCCATTTCTATAATAACTACACTGATTGTGTTGTAGTTAGAATACTTTCTTGTATGACTTGAAAGAACAAATCTTAAATGAAAAATATCAGTACTATAAATAATATTTATTTACAAATACCATCTGTAGACATACAGGTGGTTTGACTTAAGGTCACAACTCGACGCCCCTTTTTGATAAGATATTTGTTAGGGAATGTGTATCTATGTTTTTATATATCAATGAACTAATGTCGCTAATTAATAATATAAATAAAACAAAATACTTACCGATCACAATATGTGTCACCGTCCATTATTTCAGCTAACCTCACATCTAAACTAGCACTGACTAACTTAACAGACTCTTTATCCACAAACACTGTTTCTCTTCTAACATCCCTATGTAACACATCAACATTATGTAACTCTTTCAAAGCACTAAAAACACCTAAACCTACACATCTCAAAAACTTCAAATTTTTGCAACCACTCAAACTTTGCATATCTAACACCAATTTCAAAGAACTTCCTACAACATAATCTCTGAATAGATAGACTTTCTTTTGTTTAGTTTCCATAGCTATATATGGGGTGAGTGATGGGTTTTTCAAGTGGCACATTGCTTTCAAGTCTTTCTGTATAGAATTTAGTTGGCGATTTCGCAATAAGATCTTTTCAGTTGGCGGTATTATCCACTCTTTAACAATTAATTGTTTCCCATCGTCATCTATCGCTGGGAATGTTGTTGATCCGTTTGAGGAATGACCTGTAATATAATTATACATATTACCTGATAATCATAATCTCTAATATACAAAGTTAAGTTTATGGTCAATAGATGGCGCTACTCATAGCTTATCTATAAGTAGCGCCATCTATTGACCGTAAACTTAACTTTCATCCCTTCTCTGCAATCACTTTTTTTTTAATGTTGGGAAATGTATTTACGCATACAGGTGTTTATGAGGGACTCAACGGCTAGAAAAGTCATAGGTAGTACTACCTACTACTCGTGAAACCCAACGATGTTTTTGTAATTAAATTTACGATTTTATTGACTTAACCCTATGTCATATTACTTAACTTCCCTGTTGTGTTTATAATATTAAGCATAGGTAGTGTTGTCTTTTCATCCAAATCCGTCCATCCGTTTTAGCGTGAACTTTTAACAATACATACACACAAATACACACACAGGTACACACCCACTAATAAACTTTCACATTTATAATAATAGTTATATAAAAAAAATCAACTCAATCGAATTATATATTACCATACTTAATACTTCAAAATTCAACTCACCTATACATTTGGCTAAATAAACTTTTTTCGAATTCCTCTGTGTACACCTGAGTGTTTGAAGACAACTAAAATTGCATGTACATGTTACGGCCTCTTTATTCTTTTTAGATATTTTTCTAGCCGGTGACATTTTATCATCTGCATAGCTAAAAAAAACAAATGTTATTAATGCATGTTATTTATTATATGTTTATTTAGCTCTAATTACATAGTAAGCAATGAAAATACGACAAAAGAGAAAAATAAAATACAACAAAAATATGCTATGTCCATTCTAATGATTTAATCTACATTTATGTCTAAATTGAATTCTGTTTGAAATATCAAAATAACAGCTTTTTCCTAAATGCCTGCATGAAATTATATACACTACATAGTAGTAATAATAGAGATAAATAAAGACATACTAAACCAATTTTTGTACATCGCCTTGTCCATTCATATCTTCACTATTAAGACTGACGGTGTCACTATCTCTGCCTTGTAGTGTTTCCTCTCGCCTTTGAATTTCCACTTTAATTTTTTGTAACTGAAAAAATTATACATAATTATTTACACTTTTAATTTATCTATAAATACATATAAATAAAATTGAAGTGTCTGTCTGTGATTTTCAAATAATTATGTTTTGTCAAATATTATTTATAAGATACTTATTATGGTACCTAAACAACTCTTTTTAAAAAATGTGTCTGTCTGTCTTTCTGTTTGTCCGGGGTAATCTTTGGAACGGCTCAACCGATTATAATGGGACTTTCGCTGAAAGATTTGTAAGGTTATATAGGGAATGTTTTATTCTGGAAATTTTTAGGGTTCCAGCGCGAAAATCGAAAACCTCTTAATAATTACGCAAAATTCGAATTCACGATTTCATTTCATGAGATACACACATGGTAAGGTACACTTATTATAACTATTTTTATCTATTTAAAAGTCCTTCCTTTGTTACCCGAGCGAAATAAGAGCAAATACATATAATAAAATTCTAACAAGTTGAATCTGTACATTAAATATTTTTTTGAAAAATCTTATTAAGTAGATAATATAATCATTACTTTTCAGTAACAGCACACACAGATTTCATAATCATCTTAATAGTATCCATCCAAAAAAGCTTGATATAAAACACAACATTAATCAGTTACATATAAAATGTCTGTTTGTAACAAGTGATTTAAATTAAAATAAAATTATATATATACATATGTAAATATGGAATTTAAAAACAACTTTACCTCTTCATTTTCCTTAACTTTCAGATCATGTTGTTTCAACTTCTCCATTTTATCCTTTTCTTTAACCATTTCTTCATAGAAAGATAATATTGGTTTGTTATGTTTATCTAAAAATTGCTGCAAATGGCATATTTTAACATTACACCACATTTTTTTAAATGATTCAAAGTAGTACTCCTTTTAATTTATATTAAAAAGAGTACTAGTTATTATTATATATTAAATACAATATTTTCAAACATTATTAAAATATCATTAATACCCTTGTATATTGCGCCAACTGGTATATCATAACTTCTCCATCTCTGCACAATTTTTCTGCATAATTGTCTAAGTCATCTAATAATTTCTTCCTATTTTCATCAGATAAACCAACTGATTTATTTATTAATATTTTTGGAGGCCTGAAAAAAAAATTAAACTATGTTATATCATTATATTCTTTATTGCACATTAACTATGTAACATAAATAATACAGAGTCCAATGTGGGCAAAGGTGGACTTATCTCTAGAAGAGATCTCTATCAGCCAACTTATGGAAATGAGAAATAGTGTTATATACCTAAAAGTGTGATTAATATATTGTAATAATCAATTATAAAAAATACACATACATAGACTTGAATAAAATAAATAATAATAATATGTTGATAGATATACAATAACTTTGATATTATACATACTATATGTCATTACATCTATACTAATATTATAAAAAGGAAGAGTTTGTTTGTTCTCTCATCATCTCAGGAACTACTAATCTGATTTGAAAAATTATTTTTGCTTTAGATAGCCTGTTTATTGAGGAAGGTTATAGGTTATATAATATCCCGGAAAAATGTATGGTTCCCATGGGATAGATTTGTTTTTGTGTAAGGATGAACACAAAGCGAAACGAGGGTGAATCAGTAGTATTATATATGTACATATAATAATACAAATTCAAAATACATTTAAATAAAACATAACAATAGTTAATCTGATAATAGCTTAGAGCAATTTGTGTCAGAAATTACTTTTTTATATTTTTCTTAAAAGAAATTATAGAGGTGCTTTGTTGGATGTGTTTAGGGAGTACTATTTAACTTTAAAGCCATTTATAGCTAAAGGACAAATAAAAACGCAAGACAGCTTACGATTATTGAGGTGAAACATTAAAACATTTTTCCTTTAATAATAATAGCAAAGTAAATAAAAATTAGACATACTTGTTAGGGTACTCATGGCAGCATATAAATTGTAAAATCACCGAGCAATGCACTCCATTTTCACTGTGAAGAGGTTTCAATGTTATAAGAATATCCAACGGACTCCAATCACTCCACTCTGATTTTCTATTATCGATCACTTCATTATCACAATATATTCCCTGAAAATTAACACTTAATGTTTAAATAAAAAAAAAATTAGAATAAAAAGTTTAATATATAGTATACTTCATATCAACTCAGTCACTTGAGATTTAAATCCTAAGTAAAATGTACTTATACTATATCATTTAAAAGCTTTTTATCATTGATATTTATTATATTAGATATTTACTGAGATAAGGTTGTTAGTCCTGAGTAAAACTAAAGCAGGACACATTATATTAAGCAATGAAAATATAGATTTATATATAACTTATTACAAAATTTAAACTGCCAAATTTATTTTTGAAACTTGCTTCATGATGTACTGACTACACTTAGATGTATCTCAAATAATATTAATCTAATAAATGATTAAATCCTTAATAATCAGAAAATAAAATGCTTAAATAGTGGAATAATAAATAAATTAAATTTTAAGGGATTAGGGTACAGGAATGGCAAGTTTAAGCATGTCATAACATGTCTAAATTTGTGTTAACTAAAAAGATTTTTAAAATAAGCATCTATTCATTTCGCGATGTTACTGGTATAAATGTTATAATATACGTAGGTAATTAAAAAAAAATACCTTTAAGGCAAATAATTCATCTTCTTGACTCTCTTTATTATTTTCTTCACACATTTTTATAATTTCCAGAGTTTTTATTATTTTAGTCCATTATTGTCAACTAGCTCGCGCCTGGCGTTTACATACTTCAGTTGAGTTCAGTCATCAGTTCATCACTCATCAGTGGCATTTGTCAATGTCAAACTTTTATAGCTAAGCGTAAGCGTCAAAGTCGACATTCGCTGTACGCGATTCATTATACGCAGTCATTACAAATCAACCATCATTATTAAGATTCCTATATAATATTTTATTTGAATACATTTAAAAAATTAATATACTATATAATATAAATGCAAAAGTTTTTAATTGTGGTTCAACAATTTGACTGAGATTTGGACTGGAAATTGCTTGCCTATATCGTGTATTAGCACAGCTAAATCATTTTTATCAATGTATCTATCAGCTTGTAGAGTCACCTGCCCAATGAAATTATTAAATTAATAACACAAATAAAACGTCTTTAGTAAAATATTCACTAACAATTTTAAAATGATAGGTGTAATTTGTTTGTACGCGGTATGTAACAATGCAAACGATTGGCGATTATTTTTAGTCACGGAAGAGGAAAAGAATGTTATCTTCCGTGCTTATACAATTCAATTTAAATTAATTTAAGTTTTATGTGGACCTGAGATTGATCTAAATCGTTTCCTTTCTGGTACCTCAATTAAAATAAAACTCGAAATATATTTTGTAAAAGTTTTATTTTTATGTTAAATATTCGCGTAAACTTAGAAAAACTTCAGTATAGTTTTTACATACAAGTTATATTATATTCTAGCCGAATATATCTTCTTTATGCTATGCATATCACTTATATCTTCTTTATGCTATGCACAAGTTACTGTTTTTTTATTGTAAGGTCAACATTTCTCACTCTTCTAAAAACTTGCTTTACTGGTAAAAACTAGCCAAGTCAAATTTTGAACTTCAATTTACCCTAAGTTGTCTACTCTGTGTAAATAATTCGGCTGTTCAAATTTAAGTAGTTCTATTTTTAAATTAAAGATTTTTTTAACAGAAAAAAACAAGAAATTGTGTTTTAATTTTATTTTAGAATGTTGTTCTTATGAAAAAAATTCGGGATTATCTACAGAACTTGGCACTCATTTAGATCTCAATTCTTTTGTCGGTAAAGTTGACTACCACGCATATTCTTAATATTGATCTTGGCACCCATATTTATGTTTTGATGGGATAAATACTTAAAGATAAATAGGTACATATAAAAATTCCAATTTTATTTTCTAAGCTTGCTACTTTTATTTTTTTTAAATATATTTATGTCAGGTATAATATAATAATATACTAATTAACATTTTATAACTTAACACTTACCAGAGGCCTTAAAATACTAGATGATGGAAATCTTTCTGATTTGGAGTTATCTTGTGATGATGAAGAGATGCATTTAATTGAGAACCGCGATATATTATTAGAGTCGGTGCAGTTGTCATAAACCATTATAGTCAACAAGTGCTTTTTAGATAAACTTTTTTTAGCAGTCTCGGAAAAATATGAACGAGGTTTCAATCGACTCAGAATGACTTGTAGATGATTTTTGAAAAAAAATCATGTTCCGCTTGCAAAAACTGCAAAAGTTATAAGCAATTAACTAAAAATAAAAAAGGGAGTTTAGTTTTTTTCAAATATGTCAAAATCTAATTGAGATTTTTCAAATCTAAAAAAAGATTCAAAAAGAGGAGGAAATTTCCAAAAAAAGTCTCGACTACCGAAATTGTAGCAACAATGTTTTTAATTTTCAGAGGGATAAAAATACAACCTAAAACGTATGCAAAATACAATACTTTTATAATAAAAAATAAATTATATTTTTTATCGATTTTTTTATTTTAATTATTGGCAATATTATTCAATGTGCTAAAAGAAAATTTAATCAAGGTGTAAAAGTAACGAAAAATAGCGTACCCGTATGCATTCGTTACTATAGCATCAGTACTCGTTACTTTTGAATCGTTACTCGTTACTTTTGAATTTTGATACCCGATAACATACTCGTAGAGCATCGCATCGAGTCGTGTTGCGTATGTATTGCGTACGGTATAAATTATACGTTATACCGTATATCGTTGACGTCGCGTTGTTTTCTGTGGAATAATGCACGATCAACAAACCATTTCAATTGTAGAGTTACATGATATCCAGAACCCGTAAATTTTGATTATTTATAAATTACTTACAATATAAATATATTAATATTATATATTAATTACAATTTAAATTACTAACAATATTTTTTTATTCATAATTTTTGAAATTAAATAATAAATTGAAAATAGGTAATTTAAAAATGAATAAGTAACGGCATCTATCACGTTAGTGTGACGTCGTAATGCATATTTTATTTAAAATCAATTGCGCGAATGATTTATCAAATCATAATCTGTATGTATTACACATAATCACATGATCATGTCTCACGTAGGATAAATAGATAATTATTGTATTACAATATTGTACACATTTATTATTTTAAAAGAGCCGTTGTTGAGAATCTCGTCGGTTCTTCTTAGCAGAAAACTTTATTCCGAGCCGGCGGTAGTTCCTAACGGACTGACATTTAATTTTAATTTAAAATGTAAAATTGACGATTCAAAAGAGCTTGTAAAAGTTTATTTGAATAAAGTATATTTTGATTTCATTTGACATAATCATTTAGTAAAAATTATAAGTATTTGTTGGATAAAAAACAAAATGTGTTCTAAATATAATGGTTGTTTCTAATTGAAAATTGTTTCTAAACAAAATTTCTAAGATCTGGAAATCATGCAACACGAAATAAATAAATAAACTCTCTAATTTACTCATCAATGGTATTAAGTATTAACTGAAAGTTGTATTTTGCTGAATAAAAAATCAATAAAAACATTAGTACGAAAATATGTACGGAAAATGCGAGTAACGAAATGCATTCGTGAGTAACGTTTCGGTACTCGGTACTAGATGGCGTACCCGTTACTCAGTAACGAATACATACGGTTTGCTACAGCTCTAAAATTTAATCGTAGCGGAGCTTTAACACGGTAATGTTACATAACATTACCGTGGCTTTAATCTAATATTATAATACATTAATAATTTGTAATTCGTAAATTGAATATTGCACTATTTTTCCTCAGTTTTAAAACCATCGCCCCAAATAAAGTAAAATTTGTCAAAATGAAATTGCTCAGTTAATGTGTATATAAGGCGATTAGAGGCGTAGCATTTCCATACAATTTGTTATGATTTGGAGAAACTCAACAAAATCATTTAGATTGACAGAAATAATAGATACCAATTTCATGTATTTTGTGTGACAAAATTTTGCAATAAATAACTCTTATTAAATGTAATAACTAAGTATAGTTATTACATTTAATATGAACCGATTGGGCTGTACCTAAGCATAAATACCATTTTATTATTTACAATATTGTCAATTTCGCTCAGTATTATTTTGTCAGGTTTATTATTTGGGATGACAACTGGGAGGACACCTGTCAAATTTCCTGAATTGTGTGAACTTTTGTCTTCTGTCCGCTAAACATTTGTTACGGCTACTCTAAAATGAAGCTTGGCTTAGAAATCAAACTTAAGCGGTTAATTGTTTTTACTTTTGTTGTTTTAAATTATTTATGTTGTGTATATGTTAAGATTTCTTTTTAATTTGCTTCAACTATCGATCACCCAAAATACTTTGTTTTCAGTTATACTAAGTATACAGGTAGGTACTTATATTATCTTTTTTTTATATCTATATATATAAAAGAAAGTCGTGTTAGTTACTTCGCTTATAACTCAAGAACGGCTGAACCGATTTAGCTGAAAATTGGCAGGGAGGTAGTTTAGAGCCAGGAGAAGGACATAGGATACTTTTTATCCCGTTCGACCGCGTTCCAATTTTTATGATATTTTAATTTTTGGATTTCTCTTAGTCCGGAATAGGTAAGTATTAAAACATATAATTAAAATGTGAGAAAGAAAGATTTTTTCTTTTTATATCTATTTAAAACGTACCTAGCGACGAACCCGAGCGAAGCGAGGGTGAGCCGCTAGTATATATATAAAAGAAAGTCGTGTTAGTTACACCACTTATAACTCAAGAACGGCAGAACAGATTTGGGTGAAAATTGGTAGGGAGGTAGCTTAGAGCCAGGAGACTGACATAAGATACTTTTAATCCCGGAAAATTAATTAGTTCCCGTGGGATAGTTAAAAAACTATAGTACCTTATACAGCTTAGTACACAACAACGTATGCACCTAATTTAGTAAAATTTAACATTCTGATACCTTATATTGCCGGTCAAACAACAGGTTACTTTTCATCCCGAAAAAGTGAACGGTTCCCGTGGGAACTAATAGATCTCTATTAGTATTTTTCTAGAGGCGAACCCGAGCGAAGCGAGGGTGAGCCGCTAGTAATACTATAATATATTACTATAATACTATAATAATAACCACGGAAGTTGTTTTTTTTCTTCTTGTTGAGCAAAATCAAAGCTGCGACCTCTGGCGTATCAGCTACATATTTTTAATATAAAAGATAAAGGAAGAAGCCGTAAGAATCTTCATTTGTTATAATGAATTTCTATTAAGTAGGTACCTACATACATATATTATTAGTATATCTACTTTTTACATAAAATGTGATGCTTATATCTTTCGCCTACACCTTACACCAAGATTACACCTGCACCGCTCAGAATACTAATAAAGTTTTTAAGTTAACCCTTTCAAATCTAAAAGGGTCAAAGTTGTCACTACGCCATGATAAAGTAATGCTCTTTTTGCTTAGACCGGTTACGTGCTGGATTTTATTCGAGCTTAACTGGGGTTTAGAAAACCGTAAAAAGGGCACCTAAGTTTTTGGGCACGTATAAAAGCTAATCTGCAAATTCATGGAAACTTATCCTACTCGTACATATTATATAATATTATTTCTAATATTTTTTTTAATGTTTAGTTTTGAAATAAATGTTATTAATATTATCTATTATTAAGAAAGGA